ACTGCCACTCCAGAGTGGGACTCTATAGCCACTCGAGACGATGCTCCGCATCGACATAGCGCTACACCATCGTCTCCCGAGACGAACGGCTGCCGACGAAGAAAATTGCGATCGCGTGCATGGTGCGCGCTAATTTGCACTGCAGTGCAAATTAACTGATTAACACGATCAGTTGACCTGCTCTCAGCCAATCACAGTGAAGTAATTTTCTCAGTTATATATTAAAGAAAGAAACAAAAAATATTTACAATTAAACATTTTTAAAAGGCAAACACGGAGAGAAGTAGACAAATTGGTAAGTGGACATGTCTACGGACAAGTAGATGAACATATGGTCCAATATTTTAACAAACAAATATAACAAGGCATGGATAACTACCTCAACTCCAAAAAAATAAGAGTTCTCTTCAATCCACTGTTACTATTTAATTGAAACAAGATTTGGTTAGCGTACCATCAAAATCTTATTTTAAAAATAACAATGCAATTGAGAAGCAGGCTGGTAATAAACAAGCACAGAACCACAATTAAAATGGATAATTATTCTAGCGTGGAGTTAAGATGTTAAAAATCAATTTGGATAACATCTATGATCTGATACTAATGGTTGGATTTAGTTTTTTTAGTTCCTTGTTTTGCACTGGGGATCTGGCACGAGGAAGGATTCTCCAGTATGACGTCACCATGATACTTGGTCTCAAAATCCAGCCACTGGAGAACATTACCAATTTCCACGCCACACGTTTGGGACATGCGCAGTATCTTTTTCTGAGGCACAATGAAGTCCCATAAATTCATTCCACTGATCCTTCCCACAAAACCTTGTGAATATTGAAATCCACTCTGGTCTCCTTCTGAGAATAAGTCTTGATGTTGGCCAATGATTACCACTCCTCCCCCCTTGATCACGTGGCCTGTCTGGAAATTAATTCCAGAATCAATGATCACATCATCAGCGAACAACTTCCAAACTCCATTCTTGTTCCCCCAAACAATGCAAACGGGGTGCCATAGTCCATCATAATAAACTCCAAGCGAGGTGTTTCTGGGATGAAAGCAAATATAACACTATCAAAACTTACATTTCTAAAGGAAGGGATTGTTCAGGGAAATATTTGTTTCATTAGCATAAGCGATTCAGTTCTTAATATTGAAAAGTTGCAGCACAATTAACTGTCTTAAGGAATTTGAGAACGATGAATTAAGTACTTTTTTGGGTTTTTAAAAGTCAAAATTTCACAAGACTGCATGGGTTCATTGGCGCTTTTACAGATATTTTTACAAATCAATCTTTCCTTCAATATTACACCCAAAGAGCAAAACATTTCCCTTTGTACCATGCTGTTTAATTTTTTGGAGCGAATTCGTATCTAGTGTGATGCCTACTCTACCCAAAGTCGTTTGCAAACGAGGTAAAATGTAAACAGAGACGTCATCAACAGTTGCCCTATATCGCCTGTTGTTGATCAAACTGGCTTTCATAGAAATGTCTTTATTTACCTTGTTTGACTTGTTAACTACATTAACTATATTGATGTCAGCAAAGCAAAATGATATACAGTACAAACTAGTGTGTAAGAACCTATTGGTTTAAGAACCTGCTGCAGAAATTTGCCATTTTAAAACCCAAAAATATAAGAACCTTTTTAGCCAAGTAAGATCAAGCAGGTATTTATAATTAATATGTGGGTTACAGTTAAATTATGAACTCTTGTTTTAGAGGCAACACTACTATATGCTGTACTCAGTTGTGTTAGGCTTATCATAATGAATACTGTGCATTTAAGGACCAAACCACAATTTGTTTAACAACTATATCTCTGCTATAGAGATTGAAGGACCTAATGATAATTACTGTTAGCCTATAAAATTTAATTGCCAATAACATAACTACCCCAAAATACAAGGACTGATTTTGCCAGACTTCAAAAAATGTAGGTTCTTACACACGGGTTTTGCCGTAATGTACAAACTCACTCATAACAATCATTGACGAAAAAAGAATCCTTTTTAATGAGGAGTTGGTTTAAGGTTTGGGGCAGAGCGTAACTGAATATAGTGCCATGTTCGTGGTCAGCGGTCTTCATCCAGAAGCATAGAGTGAACTCTCGTAAGTCGATTGATGGCGGTAAGTTCTGATCCAGATAGCTGAAGTTATCTTTGCTTGGAAAGATCACATCGTAGCCCAGAGGCTCTATCAAAGTGCAACAAGAGACATATCAGGGCATCACAACGGCAACGAGAAACACGAAGCTCCTCGAAGGTCTAGATACTGGAATCCCAGTTATCAGTTAAATTCTTGGAGATTTCTCATCTATCAACACAAATTTCAGCCTATTTCTCAGCTATTGGTAAATTTTGCAGACTACCTCAGATATCAGCTATGGGTTAAAAAAAAGCGTAATTTCTATGCTATCAGTTAAAATTTCAGTTGAATCCCATCCAGAGATATAAAATCGGAACATTAAAAAAAGAGAAAAAAGAAAAGATATATGTTATGTTCCGACAGAAGCAAAAAGAAAAAACGTTGAACTCAGTTGAAATTGAAGTCAGAAGGAAAAACAAGAGAACTAGTACTTGTCCTGCAGTTACGTTTCCAAACTGAAAAATATCCAATTTTGCTGTCGTTATACTAAAAATGCATTTTGTAGGTATTTCAGATCTGGAAAGATCCTTGTCTTTATGCAATAAACTTCCAAAGTGTAGTCGAATTAACAGAAAATGTACGACCTTGAGGATCTCGCCTATTATTTAAAGGCAAGGACACTAAATTTATCAAGTGCTATGCATGTCTTGAATATATTGTTTACCATTTGGTAGAGACGGTTGGGAATAATTTCCTTATTTTAATTGGTACGTTCATTAATCTATGAGCGCAATTTCTTTTCAGTACTCACAAGGAGTTGGATGTCACGTACCGTAATTGATCGAGATATTTTCAGCAACCTGAATCTTGAACAACGACAACTGAAAAAACAAAACAGAAAACGAAGAAACTATCATTTCGTTCTGCTTGCAACAAGCTGCTACGAGTAAATCTGTAATAAAACACTAAACGTTCAAATTAGCTCTAAAGCAAGTAAATTCAATTTAAAAACTTACAGTATAAATATGCAATTTTATTATATTTTTTGTAATTGTCTGGACTCAGAGATATCCTTTTTAATGTTTAGTACCTTGATATCTTCGTAGTAAGTTGTGTTTAGTTCTTTCACAAAACACGAGGGACACGTGACTCTGTTTGCGTCCTTCAGCTCGCAAACTTTACTTTGCTCGACGCTGATTGGTTTGTAGTTATATGATTTGCACGTGTCATGTTGTAAGCACTTCAAACCACAAGCCATTTCTGATGTCACGTGGTACAGAGCAACAGTGTGATTCTTCAGAACATGGCCTGAAAAAAAAAGTCATCAGCTCACGACATAAAAATTTTGCCTTTCAGGATAAGAGTAAATCTATTTTCGAAAGCCCTAAGTTTATCACGGTTATTTTTAAGGCGAAATGGGCGGTGGGTCCTGATTTGGGGGCCCGGGTTCCAGCCCTGGTCGGCATCACTGTGTTGTGGTCTTGGTCTAATAACTTGATACCCTAAAAGCTCCTTTCGAGTACCAAAGGAGGAAAAATACTCGTAATTGCTTCCTGCTAAAATTAGTTTGCGGCATTGCTGACCAGCCCTCAGAATTCTCTAGTCTCCCTAATATAGAAACAAATATTAGTGTACTTTGGCGTGACTCAAATAACGCCGCAAACTTTGATTTCTTTCAGCAATCCTGAAACATATGGACGGAGCTTCTCTATAAATGTCCGGCAGAAGTAATGATTTTTCTTTTTTAGAGATTACCTGGATATGCTGTAAAAATTGTACACCTGGAATTCTCGTCTCTTTGTGTGCCAGCAACGACGCAGATGAAGGCAACAAAGCGAACAGCGGATAACCACAGATGCCTTGAAAATTTCATTCTTTAAAAAAGGAAAATATATTAATATGTTATAATGAGAGATAAGTTGGGAAATATAAACAGTCCCAGGAATTGAATTCAAAAGTCAACAAAACGTTTCTTACACGTGAATAGTTTAGATATATTTCTTGATGGCGGGTTATCGTCTGCGAGAAGCTTTCCCAAAATCACTCCAGTGCTTAATGATGTATTTTTCCACCTCATAATTACTTTTTCTACCTTGGTCAAGACATCCGTTTCGCTATTCTTATCCGCAAATTGACTGAATGCAACATCGATTTAATTTAACGTTATTAGCAGACAGCACAAAGACGTGAATAACGTTTTAAGATCATAGTTCTTAACAAGAAAAAAATTCTAAAGGGTTTCTTTTAACGTAGAACTACAAGGGCGCCATCATGCAAGGTGAACAAAAGTTATTAATTATTTTTCTAATTTAATTGCATTAACTTCACTTCCTTCCTTTAATTGCATTAGGTGGAACAAAACCAATATATTCGCCTATCATACGCACGCAAAATTTGTAAAGCTTTAGTGTTGATCTTAGTGTTTCAATATTAGTGCTTAGGGACGCTTATGGTGTTTAAGAAAAGGAAGATTAATTGCACATATTTCACTACACACAAAGAAAAGTAAGAAAACGTTAAGGCTGACAACTTTACGTACGTTTGCAAGGCATTTCTACGTTGCATAAATACAGATATAGAGTTAAATAAACCCAAAATAACATCTTCAAATTCACAATATTGTGGCGTAGCCCCAATAATAATCGAAAGCGACAACAACAATTAATATTAGACTCACAGATTCTCAACCAATAGTAGACGATGCTTAACTTAACGCTTTGAAAAATTTATTGATTAAAGATGACTTGTAGTAAATTTTCAGGTTTGTTCAGTGATATTTTTACTTATAAAAGTTGTTAATCTCTTTGGGTGATCCCTTTGGAGTTACACCTATCCAATTTTGATCTAGCGTTTCGTTGAATTTCCTCAAACTCCTTTTATTCAAATGTTTACATGTTTACCCTTTGGCGGGGCTTAGGGTAAACATCTAAGTCTGGTATCTAATTCACGTTTTGGAGACATATCACCCTCAGAATATCGAAATGATGACGCTGATTTGAGCTTAGTAGGTAGAGGTTAAAATATGAATGGAAACTGACGAATCAAGTCTTGTGTCTAGAGACTTACATTTGATAAAGTAATGATTGGTTAATTGTATGATGTCGGTCCTGACATCTCCGCGTTGATTAATCCAACCTCCTTTTTGATACATCTTTAGCCATTTGATTCTTAATTAATGGTTCTAGTTCATTTTTTTTCTTTTTTATGAAATCCTTTTTTCATATTAACATACGAGGAATAGCTAGCTACTCATACCAGTTCAAAATCCCACTAATACCACGTTAACAACAAAAATCGAGATTAACATCCATTTTCGTAAATTTCAGATTTACCGCGACAGTCCGGATATAACTAAGCCATAAGAATATTATTTGCATTTAATTTGGTATTTTTTTCAG